AAAAAAAGTAATATCAAGAAAATGGAATTTATTGTTTCAGACTTAAACGAAGTACTTTTCAATTCTTATTTAAATTATTAAATCCTAAATTAAATAAACAAAATAAAATAAAAATAAAATAATTATAAAAGTAAAATGATTATTGATTATTACAAACTTATACCTGTACGTGCTTTTTCAGCATCTTCACGACTAACTGTTACATTATATATTTTATTACTTTCTGAACATATGAGGCTTAACGTCTCATCACAGAGCGCCGCCATTTTTTCACTGCTGGTGTCTTACCTCGCCAGCCGCAGTAACGAAAGCAGGAAATTACGTCAAAATATATGACGTCACGTGTTAACGAAAGTACATTGAAAGCTTACTGCGACGTATTTCGGAACGACTTTGCAGTACTGCAAGTACTGACAGTGAGTTTCGGAACGCAGCCTAAATAACGAGACTGACGCTGCTACAGAAGAAGTGCGCATGCGCCACAGCTTATCGTGAAGCCTTCTCTTTCGAATGCAGTGCCTCTCGCTTCTGTAAACAAATCAGTATAGCCGTAGCCTTCATTCGCATTAGAGTTGTTTTTTTGTTTCGCCGGAAAAATGTTAAGTGTAACAGTAGAGCAACGAATTGTTGTGAAATTTCACATGAAACTTGGAAAAACTGCTACTGAAACATATAATTTATTGAAAGAAGTGTATGGCAATGAATGTTTATCGCGCGCACGTGTTTTTGAGTGGTTTAAGCGTTTTCAAGATGGCCGAGAAGACGTTCAAGATGATTCACGCCCGGGTCGCCCTTCCACGTCAAAAACGGATGACAATATCGAAAAAATCGGTAATCTGATTCGATCTGACCGTCGGTTAAGTTTTCGTGCGATTGCTGAAACTGTACGAATTGATACCGTAAGGAAAAAACGACCCGAATTGTGGAAGGACAAGTCATGGGTTCTCCACTAAGACAATGCGCCGGCTCATTCCGCATTGTCTGTCAAGAGGTTTCTAGCCAAGTTCAGCATCCCAGTGTTAGACCATCCGCCTTATTCGCCAGATCTTGCGCCGTGCGACTTCTATCTGTTTCCTAAGGTGAGAGAAATCTGCCTTAAAAGGAACAAGATTTGAGTCCGTTGAAGCTGTGAAAGAGAAAGCGGCACGCGTCCTGAAGGAGCTGACAGAAGAAGACTTCCAGCACTGCTTCGAACAATGGAAGATTCGCATGGAGCGTTGTAGGGATAGAGGAGGGGTGTATATTGAAGGTAATAATAAGTAAAAATGTATGAAATCAAAATGAAATGTTTTACAGCGTCAGTCTCGTTATTTAATAGCCACACCTCGTATATGTATATATGTACAGGGTATCCGGTAATTCATAGACGAGTCGCGGTGTATAGATAGATTAGATCAAACTAAACAAAAAATTCCTCTACCATTTTTAAACAACCACGTAAAATTCTGAGTTATAAGTCAAAGAAAATGAATGATTACGCACCATACGGCAGATGAACTGTGATAGCGACGTCCGCCGCTGTATATTAGACTGAACAAAAAAGGCCTTTATCATTTTCCAAATGACAACGAAGATTTAGTTATTAAACAACGAAAGTTTAGTTATTAATCAAAAAAGATTGGTGCATTATTGGCGCACAACTGTACACCAAACATCTTTTATAAATAACTAAATATATACGTGGTCATTTGAAAAATGGTAGAAGAGAGAGAGAGAGAGAGAGAGAGAGAGAGAGAGAGAGAGAGAG